CCCCAAAACCCCAAAACCCCAAAACCCCAAAACCCCAAAACCCCAAAATATTATTAGCAGATTGATTATCCAATCAAAATTATTTAAGAATGATGACGTATTTACTCTGAGGTAAATTCTATGACATCACCAGCTTTTCTGTTTTCATTTACTTCTATCTCTTCTTCGTAAGTGAAATAGTTTCCGATTTCAACTCCCCAATAAAACTTATGGTCGTCAACGCTAATGTTGTTTAGCTTACGAGATCACTCCTGGTCTTCTCCCTCTTCATGGCTTCAGACAACATGGTCTGTCATATTGTTTGTATAAAAGACCTCAGTAGGAGCATGATAAGGGAAGATAGGAAACAATCCCTTCTTCAGTCATCCTCCTTTGAGATCTGTAATGCAAGGAGGAACATGAGCAACTATATCTTTGTTGTTGACAACTCGATAATATTGATCAATTTCTGACACGAATGCATCTAAAAACTCTTGGTTACCAACTCTTGGTTGACCAAAGGTCCAAAGTTCAGCCTTGTTATTAACAAGCAAACCTTCCTGAATAGCATCTGCAATAGCATGCATTGCTAGAGCTCCTCCAAGAGAGTGCCCTGTGAAGATAATCTTGTAGTTACGATATCGGAACTTATTCAGTATTGTCTGGAGATCTCCAAGCATTCCTTGTCTGAAAGTTTCAGAATAGTGTTTATAAAAGTACTCAAATACGAGAGCATCAGTTACATTATGTATATCATATGCTACAGGTAAAGAGTTAGCAAATTCATTGATCAACTGCTTTGTTGTGATAGTTCCAGAAAATGCTACAACTATTTCCTTTTCTTCATTCCTCTCAAAAATAGACATATAGATTGGATTTTTAGAATTCTGATTGTCGTATGAGTAAAGGTATACAAAACCTCTCTTATTTGTAGATATCGTTGCAGCTCCGCACTGATTTGCTGTGAGGTTGACAGGTGGTCAGTATACTAAAGCTGATACATACATGTAGTCCTGAGCTCTCTCTTCATTATATTCTGCAGTTACAAATCATACCAAAAGCCTAGACAAAATGTTATCAGTTACACTTAAATACACTTCTAAAAATTCCAAACGACAAAATCTGCAATCCAAAAACATTCTGTACCCCCAGTCCCTCCTAAAGCCCTAAAATGACAATTTAAGTCTTCCATTTCTTGACTATTCCCTCTCTTTTGTCCACACTTACACTACAAAGATGGCCTTAATTGCCTTTCAGTTGTACATCTCCAACTATTATTAATTACTCAGATTCCAAATTAGTTAGTTCAAATACCATTCTGACTCCAGGGGTTTTGGGGTTTTGGGGTTTTGGGGTTTTGGGG